ACTATGTTTCAGGTGTACGAGGTCAGATAAAGTAGGTTGTATATATATATATACAAATTATACAACAACGTCATGAACAGCAATTATGATTGTATGTTTCATTGGCATTCTAGCATGCGGCTTCTTAATAGCAACTTCTTGTTCTTTGCATAAAGCAACGTGTGACGAGCGCTGTGAATGTAGTGACTGACGAAGGGTACTACATACCATAGCCTACGAAGAGCTGACCAAGCTATAGACTTCAATCAACACCCGTTTTTTATGACTGTTTTTACAACTTAATCCGTCCTGCTTATCGGCTTCATGGCTGTGCTATTTATTGTTCTTACTTCCCACCTGGCCTCGTCCAATTATCTACCCCTTGTTATTCAAGTACACGATGTTTGTCACAGCATTCGATCATTCTAATCACTTGGTTTTTGTCACCGTTAGCTTGAACATGGTGTGAGAACCTACACAGAAACGTTGCTCTTTGCAATTAACAAAGAAGTTGCTATCAAAAGACCGTATGCTTTTATTAGCAATTTTGCTGTCCCATTCCTGGGAAATTAGAGACAACCAGAATGTCGAGTCACCACTGATTTTTGAAATGATGTTAGTCAACCCAGGGATTCCTACAAAATATCGTGTTAAATTGTTTGAAAATATACCAGTCCTAATGATTCATTCATCCACATCTCTTGTTTACCTAACACTGCCGTTGCAATAAACAACCTATACATTGGATCAGTAAAAGAGCAAAACTTGCTTATGAAAATATCTCTTCAGGTAATGTGTTGAAACGGCTGGTTTGTGCACATAAGATAGTGCTAAACATAATGTACCATTGCACAAATGAAATGCATAAAGTCAGTATTTTGAAGTCAGTGGTCCAACAAACTATAATGTCTACGTTCTATCGAAAAGGTATCAAAACTTTCTTAGATAAAATGGTGAATGAAACTTGATGAATACGTTTGGAAAGAGCTACGATATATACCTGCAAAACGCAGAGGTTGTTCGAGATTTATACAGTATTGTGATTTAAACAGTATTTTTAAAAATTGCCATTAATGTTTACATTTTTCATAATAACACGATATAACAAAAATGGAAATAGGATTAGCAAACAGGCCATATGGCCTATGTCAATGCTTCTCCGCACATAGTTCGTTATTATTTTGACTTAATTCTATGGAGCAGACATTAGGACATTAATGAATGAATCAAAACAAAAGAAATTAAAGCAAATAAAATAAAGAATAAGACACCAAGTGCATTTAATGTTTACAGGTTGTTACTTGAATTCCGTAAAGCGGTTAGTTTCAGTTATATAATTCTGAACGGATTTCTTGTCTAAAGGAGATAAATCGTCATTGCCGTGAAGTATAGTATATATGCTGAGGTGGTTAAGGACAAAGTATCTCCTCGATGAATTTTCACATTGTTTTGTCACTGAACAACACGCTCCATGCTGTTGCTACCGAGATCATAATATATAGATCTTATCTATTTTATGATTTGTGTTGTAATACGAGTGTGAAAGGAAACGATTATTCATACAATAATATCAATGAGAAAATATACCAATCACGAATTAAACGCATATGATTTGCACACCACCATATGATTTTAGAGCCTCACGTTAGTGACTTACATTCATATCGTTCTTCAACACATTTTCGCTTCATGGATGACAACGTCTATATTATATAGGATGCGGCGTTTCAGTATAGATTATTATACTGTTGTCAAGCGAGACTGAGGTGCTGTAGCAGACTTATATATACATCAACATGGATTAAGCAGTTCAAATCCGCGGACACAAGCCCTCCATCAACAGAGATGAAGGATATCTCATCCCATCTGCATACAATGAACTGATAGCAACAACTTAGCAGAGCATTCCAGCAATGTATATTTTCTACCTCTTGGACATTTGACTTCCCCCTGTTGTCACTGCTTTATTACCCTATCCTATAGTTGTTGCTGTTAATCCCTTTGATGCACGCCTACATGTTGTTTTACTTATTCCCTGTAAAGTCTGTTTTGTGCAAAGAGTGGGCACCTGCTCCTTTTGATAATTATGATTACCCTCTCTAATAGAGTTTTGTCATTTGCAATGAATTATAGTAACCCTTATCGTAGATTACCCAGCAAACATATGTTTGCTTGGACACTGAGCCGTTGCCTACCTTTTCCTGTACCACATAAAACCCGCATGGTATGCCGGTTGATATTGTTATTTGAAATCGGCAGACAATGCACACCTGTTGTTGCTGCAGGACAAATGAATATTTCCGATACGACATTGTAAGTACTTGGGGTGCAGACATATGACTTAAATATGTTTGCGCATGCTGCTTAATATCATATTTGTGTAATACCACAATATACATGGATAAACTATCAAACTATGCATCGTTTAGAAAAAAAGTATTTTGAATACATGAAAGAGAATATTTATAAAGTTATAACTTGTGAAATTTAATTGTGCGGACCCAATGTATGTTTCATTACAAAGTTGTCTGTTAATGTCCTACTACAATCAACAAAATATCATCATCTGGTGTTTAACTGAACCGATATAACCTACTGGATAGAACCCAAAAGACGTGTATTGTCCATGCGGCACCACCCGACATTGTTTTGGTGTTTTCCCCTGAGTGACCGCTCTCTGGATTACGCAATTGTTAATTGCTGTGGCCACCAGGGACAACCGAACCGGGACGGTGGCCGCTTGTAGGGACAGCCCCATAAACAACAAATTATCAGGTGTGAAAACAATTAGATTTTCTCGGGTATTGTCACTTTGAACAGTGATACATTGTCGCTTAGGTATTGTTTATCATCTCAGTTCGGTACGCTGGTCATGTTGAGCGTGTTGATGGAGGCATTTCTAGGAATATGTAAATGATCAAATATTGTTATTATGTATCTAGTATGTGTCCAAACATATTGAATGCATTTATATTTATAGGAAAAGACTGAGGGTTTTTCATGTTGTTCAGAATATATGCTAATAATAAGCGTTCAATGATTTGAATACATGAATTCATTCACCTAAATTATATACAATGTATATATAGAGAGATGATATATATGCCAGGGTAGAGATTGCAAGCGGAGTCTGTACTGGTAGAAACTTATTATATAGAATAACCTATGCAATTGCAATCTCTACCAGTGGAAGCTCCATTCTGATCCTACATATGATTTTTTCATATGTGAAACCATAGTTTGTATCAACAAAATGGTCATGATTAGGACATTATCAATTAATGCAATTTGTATTAAAGTGAGATACATTGATATGGAATTATTTGAATTTTGCCTACAGAACAATCAGGGTTTCTACCAGTTGAATTGGAAATTGTACTGGTAGAGTCGGATCTGACAGGTAGGATCCGATTTCAATCTCTACTAGTAGGATACTGGTAAAGACTGCGAAGTCTCTACTGGTAGAATCTCCGATCAGATCGCAATCTCAACCCTGACAAATATTTATATATATATATAGGACACATATTTCTCCGAGAGGATCTCTCTCTGAAACATTTGACAACAGGGCTCATGTCTAACATGAAATGACTGTGACTTCGTCCGGTGAAACTCATGTTATACAGAACGTGAATAAAAGATGTATAAAAAAATCACCATATTATTTTTATTTTCATTTCGTCTTGATAAGATGTTAAAATATGCCTTGTAAGATTTGTGCGGCGATCTACTTCTGGGAACCATTATCCCCTCCAACTTGAAGTTGTTTACAGGAGAAAGTAACATCATTTAAATAAAGTCCATATTGAATTATCCTCAAATGGTGTCTAATATTTTTCAATTAAGACAATTCTGGTAGTGAAATAAAAAAGTCTGCCAGAAATTTCTGCGGGAAAAAAAAATCCTGCCAGATATTTCTGCGGTAAAAAAAAAATCTGCCAGAAATTTCTGCGGAAAAAATTAATTCTGCCAGTAATTTCTGCAGAAATGCATTTTCAGAGCCCATTTGTGAGCTTATGAACACGTGCGCGCACTGGCACATGAACTTTTTGAGTTCATCTCCTCGAGATCTTTCCAATGATATAAAATATGTCTTTGTAGCTCGCTTCCTTCTATGTGTCAAGTTAGGACTCGCTGGCCATTCCCAAGTTGTCCCACCCGGCCTTACCGCTATTGGGTCTTTTTAGTCTGATCACCGCTATTGGGTCTTGTTAGCCTGATCACCGCTATTTGGTCTTTTTAGTCTCATCACCGCTATTGGGTCTTTTTAGCCTGATCACCGCTATTGGGTCTGTTTAGCCTGAACACCGCTATTTGGTCTGTTTAGCCTGAACACCGCTATTTGGTCTTTTTATCCTGATCACCACTATTGGGTCTTTTTAGCCTGATCACCGCTATTGGGTCTTGTTAGCCTGAACACCACTATTGGGTCTTTTTAGCCTGATCACCGCTATTGGGTCTTTTTAGCCTGATCACCGCTATTGGGTCTTTTTAGCCTGATCACCGCTATTGGGTCTTTTTAGCCTGATCACCGCTATTGGGTCTTTTTAGCCTGATCACCGCTATTGGGTCTTGTTAGCCTGATCAAAGCTATTTGATCTCTTTAGTCTATTGGGAATCTTAGCCATGGTCAGGATATAGTCGAAGTTTTAGCTTATAGCAGGGAAATTTCATATGGGTTTAGAAAGGGTCTTTCGCGTTTGTTTTAGTAGTCCATTCGTGTTATTTCATCACTAATTTGTCTTCTTAGCACGATGAAATTTGTTGTGACAGATATCCAGATCTGAGGCGTCTAATATCCAACATAATATAGCCGTACTGAAAGTTAAATATTATTTGCTCACTCACGATTTCTAGCAAGTGATTTTTCCATAATTATTCTATCTTCCCATGACTCTTCCTCTGACAATTTAGAAGAAAATAGCAAAAAGTAATCAGATTTTGAACTTTGTGTCGTTGTCAGTGTCTGTTCATTGTTTGTGTGTATTTCGTCTATGTATGTTTCAATCCATGTGTTTTAGGTATGATTTGTACAGGATGGATGCTAGCGTAACTCAAGACCTACTGGGTAAGTTCTGTTGATGGATATTGTCTTCACCTGCTTCTGTTGCTGCTTATAGTGCACACGTATTTGAACTGATGCCATATTGGCTGCATCACACGTGGAGATTTGGGACGCCGAGGCCCTGTGAAGATCCATGTCAGAATTGATCTTCAACAACCCATGCTTGTCTCACCACATGAATATCCGGGTGAGAATTGGTCTTTAATAACCCATGATTGTCGTGTCGTGTCGTAAGAAGTGACGGATCGGGTGGTCAGGCTCACTAATTGGTTGACACATGTCATTGTATCTCAACTGTGTAGATCGATGCTCATGCTGTTGATCATTGGATTATCTGGCTAAACTTCAAACAACATGGGGTATTGAGAACAGGTCATCGGCATCCAGTTGTCATTAGGACTCTGCGGGTCGTCTCAGGTGACGTTGTTGTTCCCAGATGAAGACGTTGTTCATGCTTTCAGAAAATTCAGATGTTTGATAGGCATTTAGAAGTTGGTAGGGCAATACAACACTCTTGATATGGATGTACAACTTCTTTATTATTTACACACAACGTTTCTCGGCTAATACTTGCCCATTCATCAGGTGAATGACAGTGAATAGTTACAGAGGTATATATAGTGATTCACCTGATGAAGGGGCAAGCATTGCCCCAGAAACGTCGTGTGTAAATAATAAAGAAGTTGCACATCCATATCAAGTGTGTTGTATTTCAGAAAACTGTTTTTCTTCCAATTTACTGCGGGCCAAATATAGGTGGCATATTGCGAACTGCGGAGTTAAACACAATTCAGTCGTTCATTGACTCACTCACTGGCTCATTCACATTCTGACATTATAATTAATTATTATTATGATGATGGCTATGTCTGTCGACTGTTTGACCTTGACCTTCGTTCCCCCCGAGCAACATCTCTGCAAGAAGACTCAACACCAGATTCAGGGCATTTATTGTCCTCATTGTCTTCCGGTTATGCATACGTTGGAACTATCTGTGACAAGCCAGGTCGCAGCATATCACTAGTGGAGTATACCGACAATCTGGTGGATGATCTTCTGGTGACAGCTCACGAAATGGGGCATGCGTACGTAGACGTTTGGAGTGAGTGAGTGAATGAGTGAGTGAGTGTAAGGCAAGTCTCCTGTCCAGTCACTCACTCATTCTTCACCTAACACCCACCTACCCTCTCATTCAATCACTCACCCTACCGCTCACCCACCCAGACACCCACCCAACCACTCACTTAGTGACTCACTCACTACACAGCACACTCACCACAAACTCACTCACTTCACATTTCTATCTTTTCACTCACTCATTCATCCAGGGGACACCCACCCACCTTCTCTTTCACAATTCAACCAGACGACTCACTCACCATAAGACCCACCCTACCAAACACTCACTCACCCACTCACTCATTTACTCACCCACTCACTCAACCATCCACTCACTCACCCACCAACCAACCCAAATCCCATCCACCCACCCACTCACTCACTCACTCACCCACCCACCCCCACCCACCCACCTACTCACTCACTCACTCACTCACTCACTCACTCAATCAATCACTTTCACCCTACCACCGACGCATTCACCCACTCACTCACCCACCCACTCACTCACACTCACCCGCCCACTCACTCACTCACACTCACCCACTCATGCACTCACTCACTCAAACTCACCCACCAATGCACTCACTCACTCACACTCACACTCACTTACTCACTCACTCACACTCACGTGTATGTTAACAGTGCACGGCATGACGGGGAATACAACAACACGTGTTCTGGGACTGACGCCTACATCATGAGCAGCAGCTACTCAGCACATCATAACGTCAGCATAACGAATTACTTCCTGTTTTCTAACTGCTCCATCCGCTATTTCCAGACCTTCCTGGACCAAGTGTTAGCAGAAAGGTAAGAACCATTTACTTATATTTACTTTGAAAGTCGAGATCTGCACTTTTGGATGGTAAGCTGTTGGCTATGACTAGCGCTGCCATAAACAAAGTGAGTGAGTTTAGTTTTACGCCGTAGACAGCAATAGTCCGTTAATATGGACCAGACAATCCAGTGATGACATGTGTCAACCAGGGCAGCGAGCCTGACCACCCGATCCCGTTAGTTACGACAAGGATGGATTACTGAAGATCAATTCTAACCCGGATCTTCACGGGTGTTTCTTATGACCATGCTATGCTGCTTTTTTGGATGTTGGATTCAAACTGGCCCCAAGCAGCCAATGCTGGTCGTGCGATGCTAGTAAAAAGGACAGAGAGTCCATCGCGATGGATGCTGGTCAAGACTTGACCATTCCCAGGCCGTAGCTATGCAGCAGAGTTCATTGTAAAGCAGCAGAGTTCATTGTAAAGCAGCAGAGTTCATTGTAAAAAGCAGAGTTCACATTGTAAAGCAAAACCAAAAACAAAAAAATAAAATGAACGGATAAAAATGTAATATGTTTTACTATGTTTAACAATTCATGAGATATTCTTTCCACAGTGATACCACTTCCAGGAGCTGCCTCCTGGAATCTCTAGAACCGGCGTCTGTGACGAACGTCACCGGTGAGTGGCCTGGTCAGCTATACAACGTAAACGAGCAGTGTCAGATGAAATATGGCCCCACTTCCTATATGTGCTTGGTACGTATCGAAAGTGGACAATCCGGGTTTGAAGTGGTGTACGGAAACCTACAAATTAGTTGATTGGTTGGACTTCGGTGGCTGGGTGTCATCGTGACCCAAAGTAGATCGCGGCTCCCATCGCCGGTTTTCCAACATCTTTGTTGTTTTATGCCGCACTCGGCAATATTCCAGCTCTTCATATGCTGTCTGCAAAATAGTAGCGTTTGGACCAGATAATCCTGTGAATGGTATGATGAGCATCATTCTATGCAAAAGGATGCGATTACCTGCATCACCCAAGTCAGAGAGTCTGATTACACAATCCAGTCAGGAGTGGAGTACGACAAGCAGGCTCTCTGAAGACCAATTCTGACCCGGATCTTCACTGCTTCAAACATTGATGAATCATACCTTGAAAAAAGTATTGTTTATTTTAGTTTTAAAACAAAGTTTAAAGTTTACTTCGCAAAGTAGCTCCAATATATTTATTTTAATGCAATACTGATGTTATGAATTTTTAAAGTTTCATTATCTGGAATAGGCAATATGTCCAAATCGGTACAACCTTGTAATGCTATAGTTCCAAATGGAAGGTATCATCTTTAGATATACTTTTGTCCAGGATGTGAACTCTAGCGTCAGTGTTTGTAAGAGGCTCTACTGTTACCTTCCCCATCGGCCGGGATTGTGCAGTAGCATCAACGCCGTGGACGGTACAACGTGTGGCAACAGACAGGTAGGTGAAGATTTCCGTTCTGCTGTAAAGTCAGGGATAGCTTGCTTCAGTGTTCTTTGTTTGTTTGTTTGTTTATGTGTTTAACTCAACAATATTCCGGCTATATGACGTCGGTCTGTCGATAATCAATTCTGGACCAGACAATCCAGTGATTGATATCATGAACAATGCTCTACGCAGTTGGGATACGATGACATGTGTCAACCAAGTCAGAAAGTCTGACCATCCGATCCTCGCCTCTTACGACAAGCATGGGTTGCTAACACGGTTCTCCATGTAATGTGAAAAATATTCAGGCAAAATATATACAACACGTCACAATTTAATTCTGGACTCACAAAAGTACAGAAACTCTCCGCACTGTGGGCACTTTCTGACAAGGGATTCGACCAAATTAAACATGCAGTTGTTATGAATATATGCTAAGGATATAAAATGAAAAACGTTGTTTTCGAAAACTCAAAATTTAAACTCGCTCGCCCATGGGCCGGCCCATGGGCGAGAATGTTTAATTTCGATCAGAATTCATGTTTTGTAGGTTGTAAATGAATGAGTGTATGCTTAAAAGCATCATGACACAAATTTCAACTCATTTTGACTTAAACCTGCTAATTTAGAGCCATATTAAAAAATCTCGCCCGAGGGCGAAAAATATGATGGCCCATGGGCGAGAATATTTACTTTTACTCAAAATACATGTTTTCCCAAGTTTTGGAGGTTGTAAATGAACGAGTGTGTGTTTACAAGCATCATGACACAAATTTCAACTCATTTTGACTTAATTCAACTAATTTAGAGCGATGTTAAAAATCTCGCCCATGGGCGAAAAACATTTTGGCCCATGGGCGAGAATATTTACTTTTACTCAAAATACATGTTTTCCCAAGTTTTGGAGGTTGCAAATGAACGCATGTGTGTTTATAAGCATCAAGACACAAAATTCAGCTCATTTTGACTTAATTCAACTAATTTAGAGCGATGTTAAAAACATTTTGGCCCATGGCCGAGAGTATTTATTTTTACTCAAAATACATGTTTTCCGTGTTTTGACGGTTGTAAATGAATGAGTGTATGTTTATGAGTATCATGACACAAATTTCAATTCATTTTGACTTAATTCTGCTAATTTAGAGCCATATTAAATAATCTCGCACATTGGCGAAAAACATTTTGGCCCATAGCGAGAATATTTACTTTTACTCAAAAGACATGTTTTTCCATGTTTTGGAGGTTGTAAATGAATGAAAGTATGTTATAAGCATCAAGACACAAAATTCAGCTCATTTTGACTTAATTCGGCTAATTTAGAGCGATATTTAAAAATCTGCATTATTTACGGTAACATGGATTAGCTCATAATAATTGCCGGGAGACCCACATTCACACGATCACTCAACCATACCCATTGGCGATTGAACCACACCATTTTCTACTCTTGTTTTCTTAAAAGTGGCTTTCCCGGGCTATAACTATCAGCACACCCCAATCCGACCATCTGTCATTAATTACCTGTCATGAGCTTTCAGTTGTATTGAAAGCTCTCGCCTATTGTTTCATTACTAAATTGTTTCACGGCTAGGTATGTCACTCCAAATTTACCATATGTGCGTGACTGTCCTCTCCGACGTCCGCGCCCACCTCTCAACCTAGCAATCTGGATCCACTTTCAGCTCACTATCAAGCCACCTATAACTTCACCTCTCTCTCCAACCACCTGTCTTCTCAGAGGTCCGCGCGCCTCTCTATTCCTTTATTATTTCACACCAACTTTACCTTCCAACAACTACTGTCTCCTCCGAGGTCCGCGCGCCTCCAGCCACCACCGACCCCTGCCACCTCTCAATCACCAACCATAACAAACTCCACGGTCAAGGCCGCCCGTAGCCCCTCAGTCAAGGCCACTCAACCAAGCTTACTACTGCCTCTCAATTACTGCACTCGCTCAGCCTGCCTTGTCCCCCTCAATGCTTCCATACCACCCCCTCACCCCACCCCGTTTAACCCTTTTTCTTTCTTTACCCATTATTTAATCATAAACAGCTTCACTGTTTCCAAAACAAGCTCCCAATATGCTATACAAATCTTCTTCCCCAACACACACACAGCACCCCTAACCAGCCCCACTTTATATCTATCAGTTTAGTTCTATTTCTGATCTCTTCTCATCTAATTAAATCAGACTACATTATTTTTTATTTTCCCTTCATAATCACGGCTTTTTATTGATTTATTATCATGTTTGTAGCCGTTTTCATTCCAAATTCACTTAAGTTAACACCCCATCATTTACATTTTTGGGGTATGGTGGTTTATCCCTAATTATAAACATATTAATTATTACTCTAGCTCCCACCTACCCCGTCGGGGTACATGTCATACCATCTAATTCATTTTAGATATCATGTTTTCTTGTCATGATACTGTTTCATATATCTATGTATATTGGAGCGGTCTTCCATTATGATTTATACACACTGTTTTGTACACAGTGTACATCACTATCTATGTAACTGTATTATTGTTATGGAGTGGCATTGATATGCATGTTTATGCTTGTTTGCAAATCCCGTCCCGATTACTTGAAGAAAACATGTTTAAACTATACATTAAAATATCCATAGTATTAATCACTGACACAATATATTCAAGATTGAGATTGCTTTTAATTGTCAATATTTTTGCTACAGCCGAAAAGATTTACCTTGACTTCGTTGTGTACAGGTCCGTGGTTGTGGTCTCTTGGTGTTTTAGAAACTATGTCGTTAAGACACTTGAGAGTGTTGATCTGTATGCAGTCTTTCTGCATGCATTTTCACGAGATCCATTAACGGTTGTAGCAGCTACGCCGAAACGGTGTGTCCCCAGTTTGCCAGCAGGTATTGTTTAAACGTTCCAGGTCACTGAACCATGCTAATCTCTTGAAACAACAGGTGATACACTTTTTAGTTACCCCTGAGCTGGTGAACACAGTTCACCTTACCACTGTGCTGAGCTCGTGAACAGTTCACCTGCACTGACACTAATACGAGTGAGTGATTAAATTAATGATTGATGTTATGTTTAAACTGAACACATCACTTATCTCGTTGACATATCAGTCTGATAAAGTCAGAACAGAACTACACAGAAATAACATTGATGCAGTTGCAGGGTGTTGGTTGTGTGAGACCTAAGAAGAACAAGTATCGCCAGCTTGAAGAACGGCTAGACCGCGAGGATAGACAGCTGCAAGATGGTGTCGAGACTCCACTTGCTTACGGTGTGTCTCACCTTGTGGGACTATGAATAATGATGTATGCTAGTGATATTGTGTATAATGTGATATTTTGTTAAAATGTATGTTTACTGATGGTAGTGCTAATATTGCCTAATGGTTGTATTTCATAATATTGTTGATGCGATTGATGATGATGATAATATGTATGTTGAAATAAATGAATGAATGAAGTGACAGTGTCAATTTTATGGGCAGCCGAAATACCATGGACCATATTACACAGGGAACAACCTGCCCTGCACGCTCATTCATGTGTGTCCTCTTATCCCAGGTAACCCCTTGCTGCCTGCTGGGGGTACACCGCCGAAACGCCGCTTACATTATAATAAAGAAGTTGTATATCCATATAACTTTCTCCGTTGTTCAAATTATCATGGTCTCAACGGATATTGCATTGTCATACAAATTCATGAGAGCTTTTCAAGTTATTGTGTTGCCATCCACGTGTTGATTTAGCTGGTTTCTTCCTCATTTCCAATTTCATCATTCTGAGTTTCACCTCAGTTGAGTATTTCAGTGGTATCAACCTGTTTCGTCTAATTTTTAAAACAGGTAAACAGTAGCAATTAGACGACCCAAGCATAGTCAGGGTTGAGTGACATACTGTCGGCGTCTTGATGGTTCACGTCTGTTTCCTCTCTGCTGTACAAGTTTCACCACAGTTGTAGACTGTTCCCTCTTGATGGTCCACGTCTGTTTCCTCTCTGCTGTACAAGTTTCACCACAGTTGTAGACTGTTCCCTCTTGATGGTCCACGTCTGTTTCCTCTCTGCTGTACAAGTTTCACCACAGTTGTAGACTGTTCCCTCTTGATGGTCCACGTCTGTTTCCTCTCTGCTGTACAAGTTTCACCACAGTTGTAGACTGTTCCCTCTTGATGGTCCACGTCTGTTTCCTCTCTGCTGTACAAGTTTCACCACAGTTGTAGACTGTTCCCTCTTGATGAGCTGAATGAGCCACACATTTTCGACTTGGTCAAGGGGCACAAAGGGAAGGGCTTTAGCTCGGCGTCCTCCCATTTGTGAGAACTCCCAGTTGTGAGACACATTAATTAATGGTCCAGTGCACATAGGTGGTGTTTCCACATCCCTACAATGAAAGTGGGATCAGCCCAGCCCAGTACCCACAGGAGGCATAGTTCATTGAATATTTTATTTATTCAGAAGAATATGTAATTATGATAACACATTTTTATTGACTATTATGAAGTTTGAAAGTCATTTTGGTTTAAACATAGTTTATTATTATTTATGAAAATGAATTGGGATTGGTGAAGTATTACTGCTTATGTTAACACCACTCCCATGCAACATAAAATATAGAATGAAATGGAGGATGTGACGTCGTCGATATTGACTATTGCATAAATATATTTTTAAGTGCATATAAATATATACAGCTTACAACAAATACAACTATTCTCTAAGTAGTCATAATTAGAGACTTACAGTTGTGTTTGTCGAACAATCTATTGTAATAATGATTATAAATCAATCACGAGAAGGTTGAGTTAATTTCAGTATTTCCCTGTGAAACTTTGAAGGTTGTGTCTTGATGATATAATCGTGGACGGATTCAACTATTTTCTGGTTTACACAAGGAGTAAATTCTTTGTTTCCGTTCAAAAATATATCCAGGTTATAACGGGTAGTTGATATCCACAAAAGCAACATGCACTGTCTATTAAATGTCTGTTATACTTATCGGCGTTTGGGTAGCTAGA